CAGCATAGAGGTGGAAATATATGTGACATAATATATAATAATGTATATAATGTATAAAATATATAATAATGACAGTATTTCATTTTTTATTTTAATTTTTTGAGTGAACTTTTCCTTTAAAAGAAAAAAGTGAACAAAGAAAACCAGCAACCAAACACACAACTGACAAACATAAGTTGATACACTTTACTACTACTGTATATTCTATCTTTAACTACAGGGTCAACCCAGAACAGAGGAACTTAGTGTGCTATGTGTGTAGAAAGTGTCTGATAATGTTATTTCTGCTGCTTTTGGTTAACTTCGGAAGCTTTTTCCAGGCCTCTTGTGGTCATTTACTCAGGTGAAGTCTGAGAGTGCTGCACTCAAAAGATGGTGTAGACTTACTATTCTTGCCATGTCTGCAGATGTCCATAAACAGACTACCCTGCTGCAAGGCCTCCTCCATACTGTTCTTCCACTCAGTATAGCTCAGGTCTGCCACCATGTGGCCGTTCACTGTAAGGATCTCATCTCCAACCTTCACTTGACCGAGCTCCGCTGGGCTGCCTTCTCACACACGTCCCACACACATAATCAAGCATACAATTTTTTTTTTACTAAATGTAATAACAGTGTCAAATGCCAAATTAACCTCTAACTGTGGTTTAGATAACAATACATTCAGAGCAGAGGCTGACAGTAGTGAAGTATTTTTACTTTAATCAAGTAAATTAAAAAAGTATCTGTAGTTTATCAGAGTGTTTTTCTTTGGAAAACTTTACTTCACTACATTCCAAAGCATAATGCCATATTTTTACTGCACTACATTTCATAAATAAAAGTTGTTGTTTGTTTTACCTTTAATACTTAAAAGAACATTAAAAACGCAATTTCTTGTACTCAAGTAAATCTTTGAATAAAAGTAAGAAAGTAATAGATTTCTAATTTAATTAAGTATTAAATGATATTTAATATGAAACGTAGTGCAATATTATGCTTTGGAATGTTGTGAAGTAAAGTTTTCTAAAGAAAAACACTGATAAAGTACAGACACTTATAAAGTATTTTTTTCTGATTCAGAGTCATGTAAACTAAAGGCTCATCAGAACCAACCTAGAAAAAAAAAATCTGCCCTATATAGGCTACTGTAGCAGCACACGTGTTTTTTCAGCAGCAGATGCTCTCTGAAGCTGCAGGTAGAGCCTGTACTTTATGCTTCGTTAATTCACTGTGCAGCACATGGGATCATTACTGACCACCTTTTTTTCTTAGGATTTTATACGTTTCTTTTACCTGGAACTACAGATTTGACACGGACCCCCGTGGAGTCCCAGTCGCTCTGAAAGCCAAAGTCCCGGCTGCTGTTGGGTTTCTGGTTCAGGCTGATCCTCATCTCACTGTAGTCCACCTGGAAGACATAGACAGGTCAGTTCTACACAGAAAATAAAGTGATTTGTGGTTTACGATGTTAAATGCATCTTCTTCAATATGACCATAAATTATAAAATGGTTTCTGGAGTGTGCTATTGAAATTTACAATAAAATTTTCTTGAGGAGTGTGACCACATTTACAGCTTTAAAATGCTTAAATGATCTGGATTAAGTCAAGATTTAAAAAATATAAAGTGCTTGTGTATCTGTGCAAATGGAATTTACTTTAGCTTTAGAAAACTGAATGTAGTTGCAAGTGTGTAGGTGAGATTTGTGAGTTGAGAGTCTTGCAGTACCTCATTAGAAGGGATGAGCGTGGATGGAGATTTGGGCAGGGGGGACAGTCTGTTGACCGGAGGGACAGGAGATGGGGTTTTCTCCTCTTCCTCCTCTTCGTCACTGCTTTGCACAGGACTTTCCTGGGAAATATCGTCATCCTCTTTCACATACTGAGCATATCGGTTGGAAATTGTAGATTTCTTGAGGCTGTCTGTCTCTCCATTTGTGCGCTTAAGAGAGTTGTCCACCTAAAAGGTTTTTAATACCATATAAGTATTTTCGCTAACAATCTGAACTCTATACGAGGTGTATTCATTCCTTGCTGTTATTGTTAATCATGTAGAATAGATCACGACTCATCATTTTAAACATGAGACTAGTTTGGTTTAAATATCTCAAACAGAGGAATAGAGTGCTACAGTGCCAATCCACTTTTTTAGAGGCCCTGATGTGATTTTGCCTCATTCATTTATTATATGACGTGAATCAAAAAACTTTGATTTGAAGCAAAAAAGCTTTTGAAACTCAGACAAATAGGCAAAAAAAGGTACAAAAATGCAACTTAACAGCTTTAGTAGTTTGACAGAATTCAGAAATTGCCTCGATTATGTCATTCTCAGTGCTTTATGGGAACAAGTGGACACTAAAGAGTGCTTTTGGTGTGATTTGCTTGTTTTGATTCCCTGATTTATTTATTTTTTTTGCAGATAAATGGGTAATGTAGTTTGTCACCAGGAATGCCACTGTTAAACACAGTTATTTAAAAACTTAAAATAATGCTAGCCAGCAACAAAAACATATACCATTAAATAACAACCTTGTTACACACAGTTGGTGTGTTTTTAAAAGTTATCGTTAAAAATCTATGGAGAAAATGAATTAATTTTTACTTCCAGAACCAGATTGTTGCACTCCATAATGAGATGTTATGCTTTCTCAAAAAAATCTGACCTTCACTTTATGGTTTTACTCTAGGTGCGTACCTCCGTTAGATGCTTTATAATTCATATGAGCTGTAATTACATCAGTATTTCACTGTAAATTGATCACACACTACGGTGAGGAGTACAATGTTCTCACAGAAGTTTATTCACTAAAGACAACAACAACAAAAAAACAAGCCAATCAAACAGGTCAGGATGTTTAAGACCAAGCAGGCCTACTCACCGTGAACACTCTGGGAAGGGAGGTGATTCGGTTGGACTGTGTGCCGAATGGCCTGGGCGTGACTACAGAGGTGAGTCTTGCGCTATCCGATCTCTGGTAGCTCCTGGGGAGGGAGGCAGAAACTTGATCCAGCCCAGACTGCTTTGTATCCATTGAATTGGGTTTATACAAAGAGCTAATGGGGCCGCTGGAGTTCTTGACTGGCTTAGTGTTGCTAATCAACTCCGAGCTGTTGAGAACGCTGCTGGTTTTACTGACACTGGTGTGCTTGATCAGGCTGGAGTTGCTGCTGGACAACGCAGGAACTGGATCGTCCAGAAGGCTTCGGGTCGTTGTATGGCTCTCCTCAATGTTGTTATTCATTTTCAGTGGGATATCTGGGCTGAAGCGATCACGTCTGGTATGAAAATCTGTCTGATCTGATGCCAGAGTGCCAGCGACAGGTTCCTTTTCTCTCAGATATGGTATGGAGGGTACTGAAGGTTTGTCCTTGGGGGCGTAAGGAGTGTCAATGGTGTAGCTACGTGCTGGCAGAGTTCTGCTTCGGGGTACAGGTTCTTCGAAGACATCATCAGAGATTGAGTTAAAGCTGTCCCTGTAGTTGCTTTGCTGTCGGCTCTCTCTGAATAGGGGCAGGAGTGAGAGAGGCAGGACAAGAACCGCGATTAGATTACACTTTTACACTGAGCAGACTACAGATCAGAGAAAGTAGAACAGACTACACTCTCCGCACTAACAGCAGACCACACAATGACAAAAACATAGAACGCAACATTTCATCATTAATAAAATAAAATAAAATAAAATATTAAATGAAGAATTAAATTAAATGAATTAAATATTATTAATAAAAAATTAAATATACAGTTTTGTACCGTTTAAGCTTCACACAACTACTTGATTTAATGTATGTAATGTATGTTCACCTCTCATCCTGCATTTCCTTGAAGGTCTTTGATTTCCTGATGCCGCCTGAAGAGATCTGATCAATCTGCTCTCTCTCCTCTTTCTTCTTCACAATGTCAGAATTCACACTCCTGCGCTTATTCTTCCACCTTGAAAGATCCTGCAGGGACGAGGAGAAAGACGCTCAGCCTCCATAACTGGAGCACAGGTGCTTATTCATAAGCAGTAACGGTAGGAGGGACAGTTCAGGGGAAGGGTAGAGAGACACGAGGACAGATTGAGAAGTGAGGGAGGACTAGATTTTGCCTGTGTCCTATTTTGCCTGTTTGGCTCCACCCGACTCCTTTTCCCGTGTGAATTAGGGGCCGGTATATGACCTAAATGCTGTACTGAAGCTCAGTCCAACCACGTCCACACTACAAAGTACCACTGAACAGTTACAGACTACTTCTTATTGATGTGATTGTGTGGCTTGAAGTTGAGGTGCGGAAATCTTAAAGTCTCAACTTTCATTGAACCACAGGCCAAACAGCTGCAGCTATAAACATGATCAGTAACAAAACCTTGTGATCCAATACTCACATCTTGCCACTTATCCTCATTATCCTTCAACCGAGCACGCATCTTCTGCATCTCTTCAACTCGCAACTCCATCGACAAGTTGCTGAGGTTCATCTCACTGTCGGTGATGTCACTCACTGATTTGCTCCTGAAAACAGATGTTTTTCCAAAAACATTAGCAGTCAGGAAAAAAAGCCATGCATTAGGATGGAAAAACGATTTAGTGGATTGTAGCCATTCAGCTTTTTGATACGAGTAAAAGTTTTACATGCTCTCATCAAGCAATTATGCATAACAGAAATTTACAAGATAAAATACAGAAGGGTTAGTAAAACAGCAGGCACGTTCCAAATATTATTCAAGCCACAATTAGTTGTCTTAATAAACAACTAATGAGTTGTCACAAATGTTATGTGGCAACTCAATGGGCTAGTATTCCATGAGTGACCCATTCAATCACTTTCACTCGTGTCTTACCTGTGAGAGCACAATACTTCTGCATTACAGAAACACCTGTGCTTTTGGATATTTCCAGAACAATATTATTTACACAGATTTGAATTAAATTAGCCAGCAGTGTGTGTGTCTGTAGTCTACACTGCTGAAAATTTTTTAGGCAGCAGCCCATGGGGATCAAAGCATTGTGAGTACATTGTGAGTGTCAGAGCTTAATGTAGGGGAGAGCAGAGGAAACAAAGGCCTACGCAGCATTCGTGACCACACACACACACACACACACACATGTCTGGTCAGCTATCCTTGTGGGGACTCTCCATAGGCGTAATGGTTTTTCTACTGTACAGACCGTATATTCTATTGCCCTACACCAACCCTACCCCTAAACCTACCCCTCACAGGAAACTTTCTGCATTTTTAGATTTTCAAAAAACTTAATTCTGTATGATTTATAAGCTTTTGTACCCGTGGGGACCCCACCGTGACACGAGTCCCCATGAGTCTGTGTGTAGTCAG